AGGAGGGAGGGACCGAGGGAGTGTGTGCGTGTCTGAAGCAGGATTTGACTGATAGGAGCTTTTGAAGGCTGATATTGAGGCCGATATCTTTAAACCAAACCAAAGTTAAACCAACCTTACAGCTCATCATAAGCAAGCAATGCTTTCCTGTATTCAAAATTGACAGTTTTCGCTTCAAAACATTACACTTTTGTTTTGCCCTGAACCTTATTCTTGTCAAAAAGCCTCAGAGACAGCATTAAAAGCATCAACTTAAACTGCACTGATTATTGTTCCTGTAGGTCTGTACGTGTTTACAGGTTCTTAAACAACAACACACCACTTCTCCAAATAAGTTTGGCTAAACCTGGGGGTTTATTTAAAACCTGTCTGATTGACTGATTTGTGTTTTTAGCCGTCTAACTTCATTTTAGCGAGTTCAATGAGCTATGAGAACTACAAAAATAAGCCCTAAGTTGTGAATTGGTGAAATCATTTCCAGATAAGCATTACTGGACAAATTAACCAACACTGCAACCTCCTTTACACTGTCACTAAACAACATGATTGGCTAATATCTGATATTTCAGAAAAACACAATATTGGTCCAGTTTCTTGCCACTCTGATCTATCTGTCTCACTCCCATCTGACGACAGCAGCTTTAATGCCGAAAGCTCTCACTCGTCATTTGTCTTGTTGAATCTGATCACGTAACATGGTTGTGTGTGTATATGTGTATATAAGTGTGTGTGTGTATGACTGTGTGGTTAAAGCTGTGTGTATCTGCCCACACATACCTTCACTCTCAGGAGGTTTCACACATTACAGCTACCAGCTCACCTGCTGAACTTTGACATGTACCTCAATAATTCTCTCTCACTTGACTGAAAAATGTGTGCAGAGGTTTCTGCACCTCAGAGGAGTGCTGGTTTTCACCGCTTATTGATAAAATATGATGCACCGGCAGTTATGATACACACCATTCAGGCAGCATATCCTGTCTTACTGCTTCTTCAAATGTTATTCATGTCTCTAATCACATTATGTTCACAGTGTGTATCCTCCTATAGGATTTATTATTCTTTATTTTTGTTTTTCATTTTCCTAATTATACTCAGGCTGACACTGTCTGCTTTCACAAATAAAAAACAAACTCTGACTACATCAACATTTCCCTGCCAAACTGTGTACGGAA